AAATATAGCCTTTGAACAAATCATAAGTACGGGACAGTTTTTCATATATTTTTTGAAAACAATTGATATGTTCGAGACCTAAGTATGGGTTCCGTAATTGTATGTCTAGAAATCAATTAGAAAAAAATATGTTGTTTTGATTTAGATTTTCGAACTATATCAACTTGTCAAATTCATTGTGTCTTTTGTTAATTCTAGGATGACTTCAGCGGAACACAAAACGATCGAAATTTCACTATGCCATATTTATACATCGAAGAGTAGGAAGATTTATTCACATTCTTTGTGCCAAACATCACTAGTTAATTTAGTCTTCCACTCAGTAACACTTGCAAGTGTATTTATTTACATTATTTCAATCTTAGGTGCCACAACTGACACTATAAATACTGACCATACTGTTGGACTCTTTATCTTTCTCGATTGAACTGATTGCCAAATGCTGCGGATAAACTCCTGTTGAATAGGTATCACTAGTTGAAATCAAATAGTTCGACATTTTGAAGGTATTACAAAGGATTGATACTGGCATAGATACTTTCTGAACATTAAAAAAATCAAAAAACGGTGTTCGAAATAGTAAACGAATGTGCAATCTAAAAGATTGAAACATGCAAACCAATACACTTAATGCCAAGAACAAGAACATCAAGATTTTTACGATACTTTCTATTCTTTTTCATAGGGTATGAATTTCTTTACATTGAACACATAAAAAAAAGAAATTTGAAAGATTTCTCAGCATGCATAGAATCTAAAAAGGCAAATATTCTTTCTTTTCACTATTTTATTTTTGTTCCTTCTGCTTGTCTCTTCCTATCGATCTCTTTTCACTTAACCGAAGTCTTTCATTTTTTGATGAACTCGAATCAAGATTTAGTAGTGTGACGATTGAAGAAAAAAATTGGATACATAGCTTAGTATGTTGGGATATTGGTTCTTTTGGAACAAAATCTTGTTCAGACTAATTTGTTGTTCGATTCTAGATAGTACTAGTTAGATCAAGACGAATATTCCAGATGCCAATGCCTACAGTATTATATGAATGAGAATGCGTGAAATTTTAGGTCGAAAAATAGAAAAATCCTTGTGTTAAACAATAAAATTCTTTCCATAAATTATTTTCACGAGAAGGTGATTCTCGTTATGCAGTATGAACTTTTTTCATTGTCTTCGTGAAGTTCAAATGATTCTGGAGAAAAACTCGTGATTCCTATTACACACAACGAAAACCTATTCTAGATCTATATCAAATCAATGTTTACTGCTCGTCAATTGATTTGTCACAGAAAGCTAGTGAATAACGATCTGACAGAGTAGAAAGATAAATCAAAATCTTGAGTTTCAATGTAGCAATTGTGTTTTCTCATGAAGCCTCAAGCAACTCATCGTTACCTGCAATACCCAAGATGTTGCTCGAGGTCAAACATTATATGATCGACCGATGCGATTTATTTCATATACTGCTTACGACATTTTCAACGTTCATTGAACAAAAAGAAATAACTTATCTCAGTCGAACAAATTTGGTAAAAAAATTTTTTTTATCAATGTTCTTTCATGATATACTCAGCATGTTTAGCTTCTAAAAACGGGTTCGGTTCAATAATATAAAAATATCTAGCAAGTTCTATGAGTGGCTTGGATATATATAAATGTGTCATGCCAAATAGATAACTTCGGTGCAATTATTATGTGTATACAATAAAAAATGAAGTATAAGATAGCATTCCAATTTTACAAACTGAATTTTCTTGTCTTTTTAGGAATCTACTATTTTTGTTGTCCAACAGAGCTCTTTTGAGCGTTTTGAATATTCTGAATTCTACAACGAAAGTTTTGTCAAGTTCTTGTTATATTATTATAAGTATAGTGACGAGTGCATATCTTAAAATTATCAGAGCGTTTTATTCTGGATTGACTTTTATATAAGTTAAGAAGCATCTGAAGATGCAGTAGAAGGCAATCATTCTTCGCATAAATGAATAGCATAATGTATTTGTCTTGTACAATTACCACAATTCTTCTGTCTAACAAATTAGTTTTGTTTTACATTTAAATAGTAAGAAACAAGTATATAAGAAAGAAAATCACTTCATTTGATGCTTGATCATCATTTGATTCACATAATAAATGAACATCAATTTAAGTAAAAATAAGTATAAAATACTGAATAATTAATAAGAAGAATTACTTACATTGCTCATAATAATATTTACCATCTATTTTTTTTATACAAAGTGGATGAAACAAAATGAGACAATTTCACGTCATTTATGGTAAATGTAAATAAAATTATTGTTTCCCAAATGATGTTTATGGTTTTACTTAATCAACTCAAGGGGATATCCTGTAAAAATTCAAACGCATTCCAATACATTTCTTCTTCAAAACCCATATGTATTTTTCTTATTCAAAAACAAATTAAGTAATGCATATCTTCACGTTCAGTTTATTGTGTTGAAACTGAAAAAGTGATTGAAAGTGAAAAAATATTGCAAAAAAACAAATCCTACCATGTCTATCTACAATAATTAACTGTACAACTCAACAAAAAGATCATATTACATGCTATACACATTTGTAGATAGTTGTGTTGAAGCATTGAAGAGTGAGATGGATAACATCACGATAATATATTCTTGTTTGTTTCATCGTCATCAATGTTGAAGATACACTTTGAGACCATTTTTTTTGAAATACTAAAGTTCTTCTTGATTCAAGAATCATAGATTTAGAAAAAATTCTCGAAAACTATTCATTTACCATCCTCAAATAGATTAAATTCTTCAAATTAGTACAACATCTATTGACACATTTTCAGTGGGTGAAGTCATTGTTAAAGATTCCGCATGCGACAAGATCTACACTATTTTGTGTAGTTAGATTGTTTTTAGAAGTTCCGAAATTTATTTTATCATTCATAAACTAATTTTGAAGGATCTAATTTTCATGGTTTTTCTTTTGTTCAGATGGTTTTTATTATTATTTTAATTCTTCTATTTCAATAGATCAAAATAAGCTCATTGGATTTATCATGGAAGCTTGTTTTTGTTTTTGGTCATCATATATTATCGTGATGTTATCCATCTCANTATAAAATAATTTTGTCTCATATAGTATTTGGCGAAAAGTCGTTCAGAGTAGTGTACTTTTGATCAGACAAAATCTCAGATAGCTAACTGTTGCCATTCAGTCAAACGTGGAAGCTGAAACAATGCGTTTGCTTACAGAAAATTTCCAGAAACTCGCATTTACTGAAGTGTATTCAGATTTCCAAAAATATAAATTACTTCATCTATGGAAATTTCCATCATACCATCATAATTTATCGAAAACAAAAAATAGAGGCTTATTGGGAATTACCGAAATTTCTCGGAATTTACAACAATTAATCTTGACAATGAAAGTGAAAATGATTCAATAGAAGGTAAACTTCTCTACAATTACGACGAGACTTGCAAGTAAATCTCGAAATTACGGACACTTAACTACCATATTTGCAAAAATTTTATATCATTACAACAGTTCAGATATTGAGCATTCTAGAGATTACAAAAAAACTTCAGAGATTACTAAAAAATTTCGGTAAAGTCCAAAATATCTTTCTATACATTGTATGAACTTCTTTACCTGACGCTATACTAAAAAGAAGACGCTACCCGATGAATTTTTAGAAATCATCTTTCGATAGAGTGCCCATTATGAAAATTACATCGAAATCTATGAGTGGTGTCTGAATCACTGTGGAATTTTTCTTGTTGTCTAATATTTATTCCAGAAATTTCTAAGAATATACTTCAACGGTATTTTCAACTGTCTGAAATTCCCTCGAACATACTGTATTTTGAAACGATTCATTTCGATTGCTTTTATGGTAGTTTTCGAACTATTCTTTTGTATAGTATTTCTGAAATTGAATAATTTATGAGAGAAATTTACTTTTCTGGAAGTTTGAACACTGCCGTATTTACTTGTAAAATATTTTTTCAAGTCAACGTATCTCATATCTAAAGATGCAAGCTATTTCAAATATTTGCCATTGTTGTGCATAAATGCAAGATGGTAGCACATGCATAGATGTGCATGTCGCAAATAGATGCACGTAACATTCTTGTGTGTTTATACAAGATATATGACTTGCATGTAAACACCAAACTGTTATTAGCATGTAACTGCCAGATCACTAGAATTTTGCTAATCTCTGCATGCCAATACAAAAAAGTCGTATTTACGAAAATTATTACCGAAACAATTCTGCGCCGACATGCGAATTTCTACCATTTTGCATTGTGCATGCTGCTTCATGCAAGAATATAGCTATTTTCTTCGATGTGTATTTATTTATTTCTCAATAAAATTAAATCACTCTTATATGTCCACACGATGTGGGTTCAAAAATTTTGTTCAATTTTTCGAATTCGTCTACACGTAATTTAAGTAGACAGTCGAATGGTTAAGAAGTTCGTCTTATAAAGCAAAGTATGGAATGTTCGAATCTTATTTGTAGAAAAAAACCGCTTCGTATACATGCACGCTTAATACAATTGCTTCGCTTTTTTGCTGTGCTAACATTGGCTTGCATGCAGATGCATTTTCAAAGCTTTCGCGTTTGATTGGCGTTATCGAGTTATTGAGCTTCCAGCCACTCCTTTGTAATGCTGACGCAGACATTAGTTCAATGTTCATTATGCCAACCAACAAATATTGCTAGTGTCGGTGAGCGCGAGTGAAAATAAGACCGACATTAATTCATGTGTATTGAAATCAAAAGCAAGCGCACTTTCGTAAGCTCATTACATGACCTATTTATTGCAGAATTACCACCAAACATAAAATGGAGCCTATTAATATTTTCGTATAGCTTCAAAATGCTCGAAAAAAAAACGTTTTTATTTTTATGCTAGTCTACTATTGTTGCACTGTGTTGGCGCACTTCTTTAAAAATTATTGATGTTTACAATAAATATTTCAGATATTATTGAATTTGCTTAAAAATCATGAATACAGAACTGGACAATTTCAATGCTCTTCGTAATGCTAAATGTCGTCGTTGTCATTTATGTTTATGGAGTAATTATGTCGGATTTGGTTTTACTCTTGCACGTGCACTAGGACCACCATATATTATTGAAGATGTTGAATCGAATAGTCCAGCAGCTGCTGGTGGTCTTAGAATACGTGATATTGTCCGTGCTGTTAATGATAAAAACGCATTTGAGCTTAGTTTTGATGAACTTAAAAAATATTATTCAAAACGCACGAGATGCACACGGTCGTATTGAATTACTCATGATTGATCCAGATTTTTATGAAACACCAAATAAAAGCAATGAACCGATCAACCCTAGATTTGTGAAAACTATTAAAACGCCACAGACAATGCCAATAGACTATCAAAACTTTTCAAAACATCAACCACGTACCTGTGAAATACGTTTAAATAGGAGTGATACATCATTCGGTTTTCAAACTGTTGATCCTCTGACGAGTGTTGGTATGTTTATTCAAGAAGTATATCCGAATTCGCCTGCCGCTAATACATCATTACGTAAATGTGATCGAATTATTGAAATTGATGATGACTTTGTTGATAATGTACCAAGTAGTACTATCTTAGAAAAATTGCGTACAGCAAAATCAAACAAGCATGTGAAATTATATGTTGTTGATACAGAAACTTACAATTATTTTCAAGAAAATAATATACAATTGTCATCAAAAGAGTATCGACAAAGCCCATCTGCGAAGACACTTCCGATAAATTCATATATTATTGAACATGAGTGTAAGTGTCATTATTTTTAAATATAGACGAACAAAGAAAAGCTTTTTTTGTGAAGTATCGAAATCTTGCATTAAAGAATATTGTCGGATTAGGTGATCTGTTCGGAATTGAGAAACAAAATATACTTTGTTGCAGAGCACGTTGAAGCGTGTCGAATGGTGTATATTTTAAATCTTATTTTCATAAGACTTTCAAGAAGCTAGACTCGATTTATCGATAGGTCACTTTACTTAACGTCTTCGATTATTCTATATTCTTGACAGGAAAGAATACGATTTTCGAAAGCTTTACTATTATTTTTCGCCAATGATCAGCCTCCTTGTCTTGAATAGTGTCTACCATACAAGAGCTAACCAGACGCCAAACTTGCTCAGATATTGTCCGCAATGTAACACTACAAAACACACTATTTGGAAGCTCTCGAATATCAGTGTGTGATCTTGACTATCAAAAGTTGATTCTGGTGCAAAGTAAACATGATATTCGAAATCAGCATAACAAATTGTATTGAATAACTGATGCGTTAACTAAGTATTTTTCGCGCCTAAGTTCGACCCCGTATTCTCTTCAACTTTTTTTTCTGAATTTCGCTCTGCAGTCTTTCACGAGTCAAATTTCGATGGACAAAATATATCATAAGAAAAATTCATTCAATGCAGTTTGTTATGTTGATCCCTAATATTATGTTTATTTGGCACCAGAATCGACTGTTGATAGTCAAAATATAGTATTAAAGCAAAGAAAATTCATGTAAAAATTGATTAAGATTTTTCTGTGCAAGCCTGTTTTGGGTATCACTCGCTAACCTTCGACAACTTCCAAATAGTGTATTTTGTAGTGCTGTGTCGTGGACAGCTTCCAAGTCTGGTGTCTGATTACATCTTCTATGCTCTACAGGCAGACTCATCATCAGTGGAAAACAATAGTAAATCATTGGAAGATCACATTTTTTCCTACCAAAAAATAGCATGATCGGAAATTTTAAATATACAGTAGCCGACAAAAGTCTCCACCTACCCAGATCTCAGCTACCACAGATACTGAAGGTCTGAAAATTTGTGTGCATATAATCCACTAAGAATGTAGATCAAAGTCATGAGCTCACTCTGATTGCTTCAATGCAATAAGAATTATAATGATCGCAGCCTTCTTTGATACAAGGTTGGTGATCTGTAAAAAGTGCCCACTAAATTTTTCACCGCTTTTTATCAAATACATGATTAAGTTTTGATATTTTACTATATAACTGAAGCGTATTGTAAGGCATTTCTTCACTCAAAAGATCATGCTATTCGCTGTAGGATTGGTGCCTTTGGAGATCTATAAGTCGTTGGCGCCAACACGATAATGCGTGGCACGCCATTTCTCTTTGGAAGATGCTTCTTTCGTGAAACTTGTAGACAATAATGCTCAGCTACAAGCAAAGTTTTTCTAAAAGTTTAAGCTTGATTAATTGAAGAACTAGTCAATTATGCTCGACACGGTGCAATAGGAAGATTTTCGTCCTTCGAATAGTGATAATGAAATGCCCACAGTTCTAGTTCGAATTTATGGGCTTCGATGAAATTAAAAGCATAGATAGTTAGAGTATACCCGTGAATAATGAGGGATCAACTGTTCCATAAAGCCCTATCTTTTCTCATATATAAACTTTAAAGGAAAAAATAAGTGCTATCCATTACCATCTGCCATAATTCTCGTTGTATGTTAGCAATCACAGCAAGCTCATGGCTATGATCTAAATTCTTGGTGAATGGTATACATGCAAATTTTCAGACCTCCGGTACTTGTAGTAGCTGAGATCTGGGTAGGTGGAGACTTTTGTCGGCTACTGTATCAGCTTGTAGCTCGGGAAAAGTTCTACAAAATTGTATAGAAGAAAAATTTCTTAGAAATACTTTCGACTGATACCAAGGACCACAATGATCATGTTTTGGATGCATTGTCATCTATCGGTAAATTGATTTCAGTTCCTTGAAAGTTTTATGAAAATAAGATTTAAAATATATACCATGTCACGCGCTTTCACTTGCTTTACAACACAGAGAATATTTCATTTCTCAATGCTAAAAAGATCACTTAACTGGATAAGATTCTTTATAATGATAACGATTAATTCGGACAACTTTTATTTAGCATGGATCTGGGTAGGCTCTGCTGTGGCGTAAGGATACGAGGGTCACTGTGTGCGGGTCTTTGTTTCCACTAACAGCGAGATCTGCCATTCCTAGTATTTTTATACAAGACCAAGAAATAGGATATCATCTTCTACACTTTCTCTTTCATCACTACTTGACACACTCTTTCTTTAGAATAGGATTATGAAGTTCTAATTTGTATAATAATTTGATAATGTTGACATTTTTTGTCATACAATGAATATATGATACTCACACCTTCTTACTCTCAGCATCATCCATAAAACTTATCCTTACACTCAAGAATGTAAATGATATTATTTAACTTATAAATCTCTCTTCTTTAGAGACTGCAAGTCTTACGAGTCTATTGGATATATATGACTGGTTGTGAGTGAGTGAGTTTGAAGATAACGCAAAGGCCCAAATCCACACTCGATTAATAGCCTTAATTGAAACATATTTTAAAAGCTGCTTCATGCTGCATCATATATTTTATAAATTATGTATTAATTTAAGGGCCCAAAAATGATTGTGATAAGTCGCAATATAGACATAATGATAATAGATCTCGTAATCATGTGAGTAGTTTTCTATAAATATCTGTTGTTCTATTTTATTGAATATCTTTAGGCATCGCCACGTCATAGACTTCATAGCGTTGATATGAATGCATCGCCTGAGAGTATCGATAATAGGTTTTTAGACTGTTATCCTCGTCAATCAAATTCATTAAATACAGAAACATTCGTTTGCAACGAACATATTACCGTAAGTATATGACATCATCTATAAAAATACAGAAGAATATTTAACTAAAAGATAAAGTTAATTCATTCAGTATTTTTGATCGAACACTGAAGAAACATTATGAACTATAATAGCTAAAGTATGTAGAATACTATGAGACTCGTTGTTATAAATTTTTTTATTAATATAATTTCAAGACAGTTAAATGTAACTATCTTAAACTTTCAGAACATATTTCGTTATTTTCAATAATCATGTGCCCAAAAATTTAAAAACTAAACATTTTACTTAAAACGAAAGGCATATCATACCAGTAGTATATAAGTTGATGACGAATTTTTTCAAAAACTAATATTTCAGTAAATGACTTTTACTTTATCTTCAGTCTTTCGCTGCTTTTCTCAAAACAGCAGCTATAATCAATGATTCCAGCGCTTGGATCCGTGAATTTCCAGTGGAAACTAGCAGGAAAGATGTCGTTTTCGACTGGAAAAGTATCATTTTTCGGAATCTTCTGCCCGTACCTTATTCACTTGGGAATAATAGGGAATACTGTTCTCAACCAGAAATCCGACGATAATTGAAACAAATCAATATGTACCAATATCAGAACTTACTGAAAACTTTTAGTTTCTAGAGCGATTTATCAATCTTAAGTCTCATATACAGTTTGAGTATGGCTCGAGTTTGATTTTGTGGCACATTTTACGGATTGAAAACGGTCGAAGCATGTAAAGCTGGTTTTGCCTATCAATACTTGCTCTCAGCATTACAGCGGATGAATGATGCAAAAAAGGGTTCATCATCTGCTTTATCGGATTCATTGTTACCGAACTGTTTCATGCCTACATAATTTACTCGTTCAAACTGGTCGTGTGGAAGTTTCTAGTCTAAATTGAGATAATTCGGTGTGTTATTGGTGCAATGATCCAATTCCACTGAAGGCTTTTGGAAACGTAATACAATCTCATTGCACTCATCCGAGGACGATATAACTATCTTGAAGTAGTGTTCTATTTTTTCAAAAAGTTCTTATGAGGGAACATTTTCCACTGATAACTTGCTATTGACTTTCGACTATGTGCATAAGATAGACTCCAATGAGATGTGAAAAAATTCCAAAGCATACAATCTCTTAGACCTTCTTTGTCTGCAGTTATAGACATTTTACTAGGATAGTACCCTCTAGTAGGATATATACCAACAAATCGAATGATAGCATTTCGATCTAAGGTTTTGCCCACAGGCAAATCTATTTATTAATGAAATTTTCGGAAAATTTCTGCTTAAAGAAATGTTTTCGTCCCGAGACACTTAGGTTCCAAAACTCGCTCATATTCCATGAAAGATATTAGAATTGTTTTTGTTATGAAACTTTAATACATGGGGCAGAAAATATTATTTTGAGCTGAAATTATTTAGAACATTCTACTAACAAGTAGATCCGTCTATAGGCAAAGTTTCAGGTCGAAACAATATCATTCAATTTGCTAGTATATTCCATGCTGGACGAAAAAGTTCTAGTAAAATAGCTATAACTCGGAACAAAAGGCCTATGAGAACTTATACTTTGGAGATTTTTTTATATGTCAATTGAGTTTACCATATGTACACAGTCCGAATTCAAAATGGATTGATCAGAAGAAAGCATTCCCTCGTTAGTAATTCAAATGAATTTTATCAATAACACTAGGACATTTGTCAGTACAAGACTATGGAAACTGTTAAGAATGAATGTATAATTACAGTTATCTCCCATAGAATCGAACTTCAATTCTAACCATTTCCTTGTGCAAAGCTGAGTTTATTTGCTCGAACATTGAAATACCTGCATCATCATCACGATCGTAAATTTCATCAATATGGTATTCTCATATAGTGCAAAGGTTACTTCTAGAACCTTTAGTAAGCAACTGTTAAAAAATATGGAAATATACTGTGAAAGTGTAAGATTGATATATTAATTTTTCAATGAATTATAGATCTATCAAATGGCATTCAGTACATATTTTACACGTGTATATTGGTATGTACACATACTTCCCATTAACATTCAGTTAGAGGTGTAAACTCGAGCGACTGAGCCGTCGCCTCGATATAAATATATATACTAGACGTTCGAATGTTTTGGACACCCATGATCAGTTTTTTAGAGTTCTTCTAATCTACTTTCTTATTAGAACGCTCTCTATCATCATTATTCTCTTTTCTTGTCCCGAATATCTCGAAACTAAGACAACTTTTGAAAACGTCATCAAACACTATCAGCCACTGATCAATGTATCGTCTTTCATCCCTGCATACAATAGCCGCGCGCATGAGCAAAAATTTCAAACGTCATCAGACAGATATTTTATGTTGCATCACTCATATGAAGATAGAGAGTGCTGTGAATCCGATATTCGAGAATACGTAGTTTCAAACTATGATCATTGCGAAGTATGGTAGTTACTCAAAGAATTCTTAAAATATAACAGGCTGATCAGTTACTTGATGATATTTATTACCTTTCATATATATTTCAATATTAATTTTTGCTTTAGACTTCAGCTATCATGAAAAGTTCACGTTTACCAATTCATGTTTGCAAAGGTGATCTAATAACACAGCAGGTGATTAGAATCTTGTAGAAATAGATTAATAATGTACAGATTTTATTTTTCATTTATTAGACTGATGTTATTGTTGTATCTTCATCATCACAGCGTTTATTTAACAGCATTTGTAAAGCTGGTGGAAGTTCTGTGTTAGCTTCATACAATGCAAAATTGAGTAAACATCCTGAAGCTCCCATTATTGTCGTTAAGGCTGTTGGACAACTTGCATCAAAAAGAATTTACTTCCTTCCATTGAAACCAAGTTCCGATACATCCATTCTTTGTAAATCCATTAAAAAGTTTGTTTCGAACGCATTAGAAAAAGCACTGAAACAAAACTATCAAAGCATCACATTTCCCGCTATTGGTTGTGGCCAATTTCGATGTTCAGTCAGTGTTATAGCAGGCGCCATGATTAGAGAAGTTCATCGTAAATTAAAAATGCCTGACATGTCGGTTTCAATTATAATACAACCAGAAAAAGCAGATATCTATGATGAATTTCAAAAGCAAATTCATTTATTAGAGTCGACTTTATCAACTGATAAATTGAGAACAATCTTTGCAATATCTGAAAAAGGAATAATCGTAGTTGAAAAGGGAGATATAACAATGCAAAATGTATTAGAAAAATAGTAATATTTTTATGAGATTTTATTCCTTTGATATTTATCTTTGATAGGTGGATGTTATTATTGGTAGCTCATCATCAGATTTCTTGCGAGAAGCAATAATCAGAGCAGCTGGTAATGAAGCTCAAACGGCGTATAATCTCGAATTAAAAACTCATCCAAATTCTATATTAATTGCAACACCATCAGGAGCCTTACCCTGCAAATATATCTTTTTTGTTAAATGGGAACCTGATAGTGATGAAAACGTACTTGAACAATCTCTTGTTGATCTTATATATACAGTTGTACAAAATGTAATATCCCATAATTGTACGTCTGTTGCATTTCCGGCCATTGGATGTGGAAAACACGGCTGTTCAGTAAATATTGTAGTTAAAACGATGGTTCTAGAAATGAAAAAACATCTTATGACAAGAAATTTACCATGGACAGTAAAATTTGTCGTGGAACCTGATCAAGAACATATTTATGATGAGTTTCGTAAACAAGTATTAACAACACAGCATGGTAAAACAAATTCTCTCTATTAATTGAATTGAATTGAATTGTGTGATATATGAAGTAGATTAAAAGTTCCTCTACTAAAACAAATTTGAATATTCATATCATGTTTATAGGCCTTATTCAGAGGTCGAATGTAAACATATACGTTTTTAAAAGATATCCCTCAATATCAATAAACTCTAGCTTCTGATGAATGTTTTGGAAAATTTATAATTTCTTCCGTGAAAATTAGATATTATAGATACCTAAGCCTATCTAAAATGCACTCTTCTGAAAGAACTTTCAATCTGAAATGGTTAATCAGTAGTTTCTTTGCTATTATTAGTTTGGTGATCGGACAGTTCGTCTCAATAACATAATTCAATCATAGTTTATCTTTTTTTCAATAACAAAGCGACTTATTCGATCAAGTTTGCAACATGTAATCTAATGACTATAAAAGTTATTGAAAATACTACTAAAGGCTAAAATTCGATTTTTTTTTATCTCGGGATGTTACCACTATCAAGAGTTCTATTGGAAGTCAAATGATTGGGTCCATTTCCTACTTCATAATTGATGTCAACAGTATGTAAAAATCTTCCATTACGAAGTATCGTCAAAACTATTTCTAGTATTGTATGAATCATCGACTGAATTCGACTAGTGTAGTTTTAAATATATAATAGTTATAACACGCGGTGGTTCATAAACTAACAGTATTTGCACTTCAAATGTAAAAATTTAAAAACAGAAATTCGTTGAAATTTTATTTTATGATAAGACCAAAGATGTTCTTCAGGAAATGCTAAATTTCACTAGTACTTGCAAAGTATTTCTCCATTGGCAGAAGTCTTGAGCTGCAGCGCGAATTACGAGAAAAACGCAGTGTCGTTTCCATTAGTATAGGAAATACTTCTACACTTGTATAGCTCACATTAACTAACTTATTATCTGAACAAGAAGATTATCGTACCATTCGAGACAAAAAAAAGTCGAAGTTTAGCCTTTAGTTATATTTCCAATAATTTTTATAGTCATTAGATTATATGTTGCAAATATGATCGAATAAAGCGCTTCATTATTGAAATAAAAGATAAATTATGATTGGATTATGTTATTGCGACGAATTGTCCTAGTATCTATTAGTTCTAGGCGACCACTATTTCAAAATGAGTGCTAAGTTTCTCTATTTGATCTTCACAAAAAGCAGTATTTGTATGGATAACTATATAGTTAAATGCCCATTGGTCAGTAGTACACAATTAGATCACACTATAGTGGTAAGGCTGTGCTTAACGATTTACATTGTCACTTATTTCAAACAAGTCATAACTGCTATAATTAGAGAATCTGCCTATCGAATATTTCTGAGAAATTATGATAGATGTCTTTGAATTCACCATTGTATATAAAGGATAAACAAACGACGTTTTTAAAAAAAGTGGCAGAATCTAAAATTTGTGAAACACAATCTAAAAGGTGTGTTGAAGTATATGGAGATATAAATTTGGACTCATTCCAATTCTCTTCCTTCCTACAGATCGCCACAGATGACCTTCAGAGATCATTACAGATTATATATCACTAACATGTCATTGGAATATATCAACTACTTCAGTATTACAAATCTAGAGGATGAAATAAACAGTGACGAAGACGTGTATGCCAAAATATATCATCAAAGAAATCTCATGTAATTAACAACAACAGTTACATCGTGTTTCTCATTTTAATCCTATAGGAATTGCGCTAACAGCTTTCTTGCTCTAAAATAACGCTCTCATTCAGCTTCCGGTTTCACTTGCCTGAAGCAACAGTATATTAACGAAATAGTCAGTTATACATAATGAAAATCAGGATGAAAACATAATATTTCAATATAAATATCTAACATATATAAATCTCTCTGTAAATAATTTTCCACAGGTTTTTATGAATCAAATATTTATCGCCTACCACCAACATGGAAAAAATCAAACGAAGAAAAAAATCGTTTTATATTGACCACTGCCACAAATGAATATACTTCCATTGCTTCCGATTTTGATCAAGCGATGAAAGGAAAATATACACAAATAATCAAAATTGAACGTATTCAAAATGAACGATGGTATATGCAATATTTAGCACATAAAGAAGATTTCGAAAAACGTCTTCACAAGGATACCGAAAGAGTTTTATATCACGGGTGTCCTGAACAAGCTGCTAGTTTAATTATCGAAGATTGTTTTAATAGAAGTTTCGCTGGAAAGAATGGTCGATTTAATCTTTCTTTTTTTTTTTTTTTTTTAGTTTTCTGGACCATTTGTATCTTTTTACTGTAGGAACTGTTTATGGCTTTGGTGTCTATTTTTCATCGAACGCAGCTTATAGTCATGGATACACTAAACCAAGCACAAATGGAGAACGATGCATGTTTATAACACAAGTTTTGGTTGGAAAAACCACCAGAGGGAATAGTTCAATGATAACTCGGCCGCTTGGATTTGATTCAACTACTGATGGAAATCATATTTTCGTTACATATCACGATGCTCAAGCATATGCTGAATATTTGATTACATACAAATGAAATTCTTCGTGTAGTGTATCGAGTCTTACAGACATTTTTATTATTTAGAGCAGAAAATATTCTGAAATAAATAATATGTTTCAATTTATTTGTAATAAATAAAACCAAAGGTTCTTTACGGCTTTTTGCAAAGGTAAAAGTTTGCAAGTATATTTTATAGTAAGAAGAGCAATTGATTAATGCAATAGAATAAGCTTTTCAGTTATTTAATAAAACTGAAATATGTTATCGAGGTACATTCAGATCAATGCTAGAAGATGATTTTAGACATTTGACATACAAAATGTAAAAAATAACGATAGAATATTCTTATCAACAAACAAATAATCGAGCAATGAAATCTGATAAAATCATTTCTATTCGTACTATCGTATATGAAAAGTGTGAAAGTCGATAGGAGTGTGATGGTGAAAAGTGACTTTGGTATGGAATGGAGAGTGAGTTGGATGAAGTAACAACGCATACTCTCAATTGAGAAGATTATTCAACACTACTAGCCCGTAAAAGATGATTTATTGAGGATACCTTTGCTTGTTGTATGATATGAGAGGTTCGCATCTGAAGGAAATTCAAATTATATGGCAATGGAAAAAGTTTCATGGAAATTTAATTCCATGTTTTGAAATACAAGCATTAGAAATTGGTTTGAATATTAAACGTATGTAAAAGTAATGCCATTAATTTTGTGTTCGATCTAGAAATAAATTTTAGGTACAAATCATCGATATTTAATATCGACTCTTACGGCAATACTGCTTAACTTGCATTATCCATTATATAATGATGTACACAAATCTGAATTTCTTGATCATTATAATTTAGCATGTCTTTATTTTCGCAGTTCATCTGTACTCTCAAGATTCGAAGGATTTCCATTGAATTCTTAGGCATTGAAACTTCACCGAGTCTCTCTCGTGAATAATCTCCATCTTATGGTAGGTGAGCACTACTTCAGCATGATTGAATAGAAAAAATTTTATCTAGTATTAAAAGTCTTATACTAATGTGAAAGTGTATTTAAATAATCTTGCATTAATCAGTATAATCTAACAATATTGTTCGAAATCGTTTTTATGCCTGACTGATTCGATGAAACAACTATTTGTCAAATCTCTTATTCTTTGTCAAATATGCAAGAATTTCTTTTTAAGCCATACTCTATTCCACTAATGTTGTCATAGATCATAGTCAAAGATAAATGATTGAATGTGAAGCATTGTTGTATACTGTTCATTTTCTTTGAATAATGTAGTTCAGTGATATTATTGTATATAGTAGCAAATGGTTTTTTTTTCATCGAATATCGTCATTATTTTCAGTAATGTATCATCAATTTTTTCACATGGATCTATGTATAAGTATTACCATTCCATATACTTGTTTATAAGATTTACGCTTCAATTTTTTTTAGTAAAATAATTTGTTAAATATTTCAGACGTACATTCTGATCACTTGTTTATGCTAAATTGATTTACCATAATAGATATTCGATTTGAATTTGTATCATCGATTTTGTAGAATAGTATGGAATGAAAAGAAACATTTCTCAGATTATTGAAAGAAGTATATGCAATTGAAAAAACAAGTAGATCGATTTCTATTTGAAATAAAACTCCTTTTAGATCCGTATTCTACTGAACCTTACTAGCAAATAAAAGGGAATCATTTCAAACTCTCAAAATCATCATCTAACATGGTTTGATCTCAATAATAAGGACTAGTTTCAAAGTGTGTTGAGTTTCTGAATATATCCGTTGAAGTTGTTAATAAAAATCATCAATACACAGACAAAAACATCGTGAAACACGAAATGTAGGGGTAAAAATTAGGGTGCATTGCCGTTCCTCGTTCTTCACACAAATCATGGCAAATCTTGTTGATATACTGTCTTATACCGTTTTTCAATAATGTCTCGTTATAGAAAAAGAATTGCTTCATTATTACATTTCTCGAAGATTAAATGAAATGATGGTGAAGAAATGCGTCGCAAAACAAGTAGTATAAAATAATTAGACTGCGATTAGTAAGACCAACAATATCATGTTTTATATTTTAATCCTGCACAAATTCCGCTAATATCTATTTTTGTTTTAATAAGTGGATAAATGCTCTTCATCTGTTGATCATTATTAGAATAGTGAATATAAAGATAAGCAATAAAGTCTTCTCTTGCGTTTCCACTATTTCTTATTTTCACAAAAATTATTTTGAGTATTTTGAAACATATTAATAATGAATCAAATTCATCAAAATTTTCCGAAAATATTATAGAAAATAATACTAATGGACATACAATATCGATTTCTGTTTGACAAATGTCTCGTTTGGGCGTATCAAAAAAAGTTGAAACAATTAGAACTGCATTTTCATCTTTGACATCTATAATAAAATCAATCGATTTGTCCACATAAGCAAATATTTTGACTAGAAAAAATGAATGGTACCTATTACTACAATCATAATTAATCATGAAATCGAGCCAAATAACGAAAGAATTCTGATTAATCTATGTTCTTGCCATTATTGTGATATTAATCAATTTGTTTTTTTTTATGCATTAACCTTCATATATAATTTTCCTTCAATTTCTGATCGAAATAAACATCCTGGCTTTCGAGCGATCTGATAATATCTCTATAACTCGGGTGTCAAGATTCAAAACAAAGTTAATAGTATTTTGAGTGCATCCGGTGTCACGGGATGGATATCTGAGTAGATACCTATATATCTAGAGAATTCACGATATATATAGAGGTAAATGTGTGGGTATATGTCTTTTCTTGGTCATTTATCTCGCAAATTCATCCATCATTTAGAGAATCTTATACAGTTGAAGTCCTTGCTGCATACGCCTTCAGGACGGCTATGAGTTTTTTTTTGTTCCAAGTTTAAAAATAACATGTGACATTTTTAACGTGAAATTTATAAAAAAAAAAACAAAAACAAAAATTGCAATCCTAAAGAAGAAAAGAAAAAGAAATGGTTCGTGGACGTTTTTTAATTCATTCGAAAAAGAGTATCGAAATTCATGCTTCCTTTTATTTTCTTCTTCCTTTGATGGTACTTCGTCGAGAACGCAAAGCAAACAATCAAGACGCTTAAAAGTAAAAACAATAATTCAATGTTATGCACGTTGGTCAATGAAGATCACAATGAATCTTAAACTTTAATATATGATTTTTCCTGAACCTTTTTCAATCACATATCAATAGTATTTAATGTTGTATGAGTCAAGAGAGAAGATTTACAGTCCGGTCTCTTATCTTCGTTGCAATAATGTAATGTCAACGTAGAACAAATTGTTAAAGAGGAAGAAGAGTAATAGATTTAATTAGTATATATCGAAAATAAAAGCAAATGGTCGAATCAATAAATAATTAATACTAAAAATAAGATGAAGTCTATCAATATTTTCGTATAATATCAAACTTCAAGTAAACAAAATTTTTAGTTTTATGCGAGTTTTTTTCATAGCCAACTATACAATAAATTTCGCTAGTCTATTTTGGTTGCAATGCAGTGAAATATCTATTTATAATTTAATATATGTTTACAATAAATATTTCAGATATTATTGAATTTGCTTAAAAATCATGGATGCAGAGCTGAACGATGTCAATCTTCGTCGTTGCCGATTAAATTTATGGAGTAATTATGCCGGCTATGGTTTTAGGCTCGAAGCTTCACCACTACCACCACATATTGTTCAACTTGTTGAATCGAATAGTCCAGCAGCTGCTGGTGGTCTTAGAATACGCGATCTCATTCTAGCTGTTAATAATGAAAATATGTGTAAGTCTAGTTATGATGAACTAAAATATATCATTAAAAAAGCACGAGATACAGATGATCATATTGACTTACTTGTTATTGATCAAGATTTTTATAAAATATTAAAGGAAAAAAATCAATCAATCCATCCTAGATACGCGAAAACTATTGAAACACCACGAACAATGCCAAGAGATTATGAAAAATTTCCAAAACATCAACCACGTATCTGTGAAATACATTTAAATACAAATGATACATCATTCGGTTTTCAAACTATTAATCCTTTAAATAATGCTGGGATATTTATTCAAGAAGTATATCCGAATTCACGTGCCGCTAATACATCATTACGTAAATATGATCGAATTATTGAAATTGATGATGACTTTGTTGATAATGTGCCAAGTAGTACTATCTTAGAAAAATTACGTATAGCACAAGAAAAACGACACGTGAAATTATATGTTATTGATACGGAGACCTATGAATTTTTTCAATCAAATAACATACCACTATCATCAGAGGAATGTCGAGAAAATACATTTGAAAGAAGATTCTCGACAAATTCATGTACCGAGAAAGATAAGAGTAAGTATCACTATTTTTATATATAGACGAGCAAAACAAAACAAATTTCTTTTACTAAATTGTCGAAATCTTTCTTTGAATTTATAATGAAACGATACATTTGGAAGTTTTCTGAAACACGAGACGTTTTTGATATATGACCACAGACTATATATCAATAATATCATTTATTATTCGTATTCGTATCAAGATCCACGAAGTACTAAGGACAGATGAACGTATAAATGACGAAAGAATGCATTACTCAGATTATCTCATAATGTAATTGAAAACTGCAATTTCTCTCGTCTTACATATTTATGTGATTACAAGCAAAACAAAATTCTAGCTACAACATCAAACTAGTTAGTCATAATGAGAAATCTATTAGACTTATATTCTGTAGTTGGGATCGAAGAAAATGAGTGGGCAGTAATATGTGCCAACTGTTCCACGATTATATAGAGCATAAGGCACTGACGTCAGGTTTCAATTAGTTTATTTTTTAATATTGTTTACTGATAGTATATATAGACTACTTTGATTCATTCTACTTCGGCTAAAGCCGACAGAAAATTTTACATATAGTCAAAAATATTCATTTGCCTTACATAATCTAAAACAAATTAAATAAATAGTGCTGAAGAACCATTTTTTAAGATCTGTCATTGCTATGGAAATAATTATTCTACGAAAAATCTTTTTCTTTTACTAGTGAAAAAGGTTCTTCAAACTAAACTCGACGACAATATTCTAAAAATAAAAATCTCAAGCTATTGTTCATTCTTTTGACTTTTTTTTGCCAAATGAAGATGTTCACTATTTGATAGTCCTAACTGGCACATGTTTTATGCTTCTCTTCATTCATTAGGGTCATCATTATCATCTTATAAATTCGGAACAATATGTGCATCATTTCACAGTGGATCAATCGAAGTTGAAATGGGTGATATAACAAAGAAACGGGTATTAAAAAAAGCGAAAATATTTTTGTGAGACTTCATTTCTTTGATATTTATCTTTGATAGGTTGATGTTATTATTGGTAGTTCATCATCGCGAATCTTAAGACAAACAATAATAAAAGCAGCTGGCAATGAAACTCAAGCAGCGTACGATCTCGAATTAAAAAACCATCCGAATTTTGTACTAATGGCACTACCATCGGGAACTCTACCCTGTAGACAAATATTCCTCGTTAAATGGAAATCCGACAATGATGAAGGGATACTTCAACAATCTCTTGTTGATCTCATGCATACTGTTGTACAAAATGTTCAAGAACATCAGTTTACGTCAATTGCATTTTCAGCCATTGGATGTGGAAAACACGGCTGTTCATTAGATATTGTAGTTAAGATTATGGTTCTAGAAATGAAAAAACATCTTATAACAAGAAATTTACCATGGACTGTAAAATTTGTTGTTGAACCTGATCAAGAAAATATTTATGATGAATTTTGTAAACAAGTATTAACTACACAGGATGGTAACATAATAATTTTCTCTCTATTAATTAAAATATTATTGTGCAATATATAGAATAGATTAAAAGCTCCTTTGTCAATAAAGGAATTTGAATATTCATTTCCTATGTATAGTCTTTATTCATAGGAGAAATGTAAACATATACTATTTTAAAAGACAACTATGAACATCGATAAACTGTAACTTCTTATGGATGTTTTTGGAAAATTTATAAATTCCTTCGTGAAAATTTGATATTATAGAAATTTTATTACATTCAAAATGCACTAAAATGAAAGCATTTTCAATCTGAAATGATGGATCAGACAGCGAATTATTACTATTAAATTTAAGCATGGGGAGACCAGTATTTCAACCCTAATGCGAATTTTTCTCTCCTAACTGCACAAAAGACTTGTTTTTTATTAATAGCTAGTCTATGGCTTAGTGCTCACTAATATGCATTTAGACAATGCTATAGTTGCAATATTCTATTTCATAGGACAGGTTAAGACTTAGTAGAACGGCATAGTCGTACTAAGCAATATGAACTTGGATCACACAATAGTTATAATATTGTACTTACCGATTTATAGATCAGGAGACATCTTGTTAAAATACATGTTTCATAGAGATAAATAGAAAAAGAGGATCTGACATAGTGAAATCTTGATTCAACTTAACCCTACGTCGAAAATATAGGTAAGAGCTAGACTCAGGTCAAACCTAGAATCCCTAAGTATGATAAACAATTAATATATCAAAATATCGGTTAAGTAGTTCCTTTTAGCATGTTGATTAAATCTAACCAGCATATGATCAGTAATTTCCTTTGTTCCAATTGGTCTCTGGATTTAGATGGCATGGTCATAGCCTATAGATGAACTATATCATATTATTACTCTTCATGTATATTATAAATTGCAATTAAGCTGCTTTTGTTACAACAACAGATATAATAAGAAAACATAAATGTAAATTTGTCTATAGTGGTTTGCCCGAAATATTGTCACAGTACCGCTTTTCTATATAGAATTTTCTAATTATTCTAAACGGATATTGACTAAGAATTATTAAGTCCTACGAAGATTTTTTTTTATTCCCAACTAATAGGCAAATGACGTTTCAATCATCGATAAATGTTGATCGTTTTTTTTCTATTATAACATTCGGAAAATATTTTATGAGCTTTTCATTCTTCAAACTCGATTTACAGAAGAAAAAATATATACACAGCTTCAGTATTCAAATATTTAAACTTAAAAATCTTTGTGTAAATTAATTTGCATAGGCCTACATGAACCAAAGTTTTATCAATTGCCATCAACATGGGAAAAATCAAGACAACATAAAAATCGCTTTAGATTGTCCACTACGACAAATGAATACGCATCCATTGTTTCCAGTTTTGATCAAGCGATGAAAGAAAAATATACACAGATAATCAAAATTGAACGTGTTCAAAATGAACGATGGTATATGCAATATTTAGCACATAAAGAAGATTTTGAAAGACGTCTTAAAATGGATACGGAAGTAAGTTTATATCATGGTTGTTCTGAACAAGCTGCTCATTCAATTATCGAAGACTGTTTTAATAGAAGTTTTGCTGCAGTTCATGGTAATTTTATTCTTTTGTATATTATTGAACCGTTGGTATCTTTTTACATACAGGAACTGCCTATGGCATTGGTGTTTATTTTTCATCGAAAGCAGATTATAGTCATAAATATACTGAAACAAACACAAATGGAGAACGATGCATGTTTAGAGCACGAGTTTTAGTAGGAAAAACCATCAGAGGAAATAAGTCAATGAAAACTCGACCGCTTGGATTTGATTCAACTACTAATGAAAATCATATTTTCGTTACATATCACGATGCTCAAGCATATGCTGAATATTTGATTACATACAAATGAAATTCCTCGAGTAGTTTATCGAGTCTTACAGACATATTTATTATTTATAATAAAGAATATTCAAAAATAAGTAATATGTTTAAGTTTATTCATTGTAAATAAAATCGAAGCTTCATTATGATTTCTTTTTTTTACGGAAGTAAAAGTTTTCATGTATATTTTATAGTGAAAATAATAATTGATTGACGCAATAAAATAAGCCTTTCAGCTATATTATTGCGTTGAAATGTGACAGTTATTTTTTTCTTCTCTACTTTTTTTGTTGATTTATATTGTTGCTAAAATCAGACTTGCTCGAACTGAAAAACAGAAGAAATTAGAATAAAATTCTAAAAAATTTATCTCCTGAAATCAGAAGCCTCATCATCAAATCAAAGATATTTTGTACTTGAAAAAACTATCGATAACAAATGATCCCTCAATGTATATGGTATGCCGCAAGAAATAATATCACCTATTACATAAGCTACTATAGTTTTTTTCTTTCACACACTGGAACTAAATATGTGTTCATTATTTCATATATCATTCCTCCGATTTTGCTCCGTATAATATTATTCTTGAATTTTTTTCAAATCAAACAAACATAAATAAGTAGCAATGCAGTATCTCCATTACATTCATTTTTATTCTGAGATTATTAATAGTAATTTATGCTGAAAATAAAATATGCCTATCTGAAAACAATCCATATTTTTGATAAATTTGAGTAAAAATTGAGTTTTTCTAGGCTTTTGATATAAAAAGGATTTAATCTAGAAAAAATCAGCTTTCCTCCCATTGTCAATACATGAAAAGTAACCACCAATCAACAAGTTGAGTAATATTTAAAAGGGTCAAATCCTTATAAAAATTCTTTTTCTGTTCTGTGAACGTTTCGTTCTATTTGCTTCGACTATAAGTAAACGATATTGTGGACACTTGAAAATATTGAATTATATAAGCTTCTTATCAATTACGAAAACAACTTATGAGAAAATCTTTCCAGATTGCAAATTGTTTTTTGATTGAAACGATGTTTATTGGATGAGTACTAGTAAGTTATAGAAAAGTCTAGAATTATTTGATTTTCTGTGGCTTTTGTTGTTGAGATATAGAAATTTTACTAAATTTTTCAACAAAAAGCTCTCAATGAGTTTAGACTATTGGACAATATATTTACTTTTCTAGTACCTCCAATCTTCAGATAGGTTGCACAATCAACTAATCTTATTCACAAGTGCATTCGTGCAAAGTTTGAAGTCGAAAGTCGATTTTCCACGTGACCTAAGAGAGACGAAAAAACAAAACCGTTCTAGACTCTTCTATTACTCACTCATCAAAAATAAACATCACCTTAATCAAAACGCTATTTCACACCTTGAAAGGTTCCTTTGTTAATTTTATTTTCAAAATATGATTTTTCGAAGTCTGATCCATATGTATCAATCTTTAATTTTTATTTTTAATAATTCTAAGATTTACATAAGGTTAATAATATGCAGAAAATATGCGTCGAAACAACGAGCTTGAAAATAATGATCAATATTCGTAAAAAAAAAAATGGTCCATCTTTTATCTTTATCTAGAAGATTTTCTTGTACAAATGAACCATGTTCATTCATTTCAACTATAAAACGATCTATCATATTAATAGTAGAAAAATAAAAATATTATTTTTTGTTTGTGTCTAACTTCAATTTAATAATACTTCCGAATCAAACAAAAAAGAAATCAATAATCAATTCAATACAAGTTATCTTGTTTTTCTTATCTTAGAATATCTGTCATATGTTTGTATATGTATGCAAATGCACAAAACTATTTTTATTTTGTTTAGCAAAAAAACAAGAACAATTCCCTTTTCGAAATAATTTCTTTAAAATATAAAGCAAATACACATTAAACAACAAAAGTCAAAATGTTTCTTTTCCAGATATATTCAATACATAAATTTTATAGTATAATTTTTTTTAAATGATTTTCGTTGTAGAGAGTTGTGGTGCAATACATATTGTCGCACCACATGCATTACGACAACATTTTGTAGTACCTTTGCAATCATTATCAACATCACAAAGATGTCGATCACATAAATTCCAAAGTGGATTTTTTATTTTGGTTTGAGGTGCTGGACATTTACCTCGTTTTGGTTGATTATCTTTAGGTACAATACAATGAAAGCCACATGGTTTTTGCATACTAAAACAACATTTTTTGCCTATTGGACATCGATCTTTTACTGTTGAACATGTTGATGCACAATTGGGCGATGGTTTAATAAATCCATAACCAGGACAAACTTTTTGACCAGCATTGACAATTGAAACAATCATCAATAATAATAATACAATATATGAATACAGAGACATAATTCCAATAAGAAATTCTTATTGAGTATAATTTAATTTGTTTTGTTTTTGTATTATGAATGTATGATAATACACAATTGAAGATGTATTAATGAAATATGTGTAATACTCGAAATTGTAAAACAAATTGATGCTTAAGTTTTGTAATAAGATAAGAATCTTTCAGATAACTAACTGTGAAGATTATATGATGTTTTATTGTAAAATTACACACTTTATATAGTAGAAGAAGAAGCAACAAGAACATTTATAATGACTCAATAAGATAGAAAAGAATCGAATAAGCGTGACGATACATAAAGAAGAAAAATCAAGTGATAAGATGAACAGAAAAGAAAGAATGTACTGTAAGTGAACGATGTACTGACACAGAAACAAAAAATCACGAAGTAGATGTTCATCATCTCATGACATAAATATTATTGGTTTCAAGTTTATGATGATCTTGAATGTTTAAATTATGAATCATTGAAAAAAATATTTGTTTTCAAAAAATCATTGCAGCTAAATAAATGATAAATTATATTTTTGGGTTTATCATCAAATCTAATAACGATAAAATCATACTATTAAAAAGAATGTTTAGTATACGAACTTGTTGATTTAAGATAAACATCTTTCAATGATACATACTTAGGGCAATCCACAAAGTAGTAATGGTAGAACAAAAAATGAAATAAAGAATTTCAGTCTAAAATTCTTTATACTATCTGTAGAAAAAAAACTAAATCATTTTCTGACATATCAAAAACCGAGATACAAATATGTCTTTTGTTCTCTATAACATTGAATTAAATAGATTATGAAATCTGTCTCATCCATCATTATATAACATCATACAGAAAAATGAAACAACAAAAAAATTTTATTCTGTTTATATTTTACATCTTTAAGATGAATACTGTAAAAAAAATATTTGTCTATTTATCTCTTGGTATTCAAAATTCTTTCAGAATTATGTAGAAAATATGAAACAAGAACAATTATTTCATTGATTAGGTTGTTTTTCTTTTGAATAGCAACTAAACACACGAGTGACAAGCGCAATAGTTATTGTTAGGGTATATGTGTCACAATTGCATTTATAGCAAAAGAACGTAAGGAAGTTAATCTTTATCCTCAAAAAAAGTCAAACATTTCGGCAGACAAAGAAAATATTTAACAACGTACTCATAGATATCATTTCAGTACATCGAAAGGTAAACTTTTACATAATCATAAAGTATCAAAATCCATATAACACACAACCCCTTCATATTTATGTCAAATTATATCGTTAAATCTAATAAGTAAATTAGATTCTTTCAAATGATAAAGATTGTTATTAACTATTTATAAAAATATTATATAAATAAAAATGTGTAGGGCCAATTTTTTCTCATCAGTTCGGGTCATAATACAGTAAAACTTCTGTGTATGAACACATCCTTATTTTGAGTAGTGATTGCTTGTTTCCAGTCCTATGAGTAATAACAGCCTCTGTAATATGAGCAACGTACGGTCTATCATTCATGTGTAAAACGAACAAAAAAGCGATATTATGTATATTGCATTATGATAAACAAACAAGCAAAATATATAACAAGGAGATGGAGTAACTATACATGTAAAAAAGAAAAAAATTTTTAGACAGTTGGTTAAACAAATTGAATTAATAAATTATTGAAAAGAAAATAAAGATTACCTTAGGCAGTCGAAAAGTGATTAGAAAATGAATATTTNTTCTGCAACAAAATCAAAATTTTAATCGATTGAAATCAATGTTACCAATCCACCTCAATCGATTAAAAATATAATTTAATCGATTGAGGTGGATTGGTAACATTGATTTCAATCGATTAAAATTTTGATTTTGTTGCAGAAAAATCCGATTATCAATTTCGATTACGCCCATAGGATTTTTGAATTTTAATCGATTTTAATCCCTAAAATTTTTCACTGGGTGGAGTATTAAGATGTTTTGAATGAATTAAATAAAATTAACTTGGATAATTTTAATTGAAAATATTTGAGACTATTCTCAGATTCATTTTTGTCCATATCGCTGAATGAAATGATGTAGTAGAATATTTTGGGATTGTTAATAGATGTCCGAAATCTGGAAAATATATAATTAAGATTCATTGAGTACAAAATTTTCATGCCTAGAGCCGATTGAATACTACTTTGATAGCCTGTTTGAAATATGTTAATCGGAATAGGACAGTCATCCTTTGGGGGTATGATATATTTTTTCTGAGATATGTGGTAAACACTCATTCTAATGTAACTACTCATCAAGTGACTATGACTTGCTAGTTTGAAGGCTGCAATTACTAACGCGAATAATCAAGCAATTTTGTGTGTATCAATAGTGTTCGTGTATTTTGCAAGCACTGTGAAATGGACTAGCTAATTTTTGTCAGTTTCTGGAGCCCTGAAACTAGGCTATCTCGTTCACTTTTATCAAGGAGTGCGGTGTATGGATGCGAGGATGAATCGTCTCTCTACCCACACCCGCACCCATAATAACAATATACACACATGTAACACCCATAGCCACTATTCACGCCTCAAACATGGATAGCCTTGTTGACTTACACAATTCTACAATACATTCGAAATGATGTTTCGCTCATTTGTTCCCTATTTCTTGCCGATGTGAAAATTCGCTGGTGCCTTTAAGAACAAATACATCTTCTGCTTTAGATTGACGTCTGACTTGAGAGCAGTACTCGCAGTAGTGAATGCTAGACGTGAACATGAGTGAGGGTACACAAAAGATCCTCACTCATAGTGTCACCCATACTCACGCACCATTTTATCGTCAAATTTTATCTTTTGGCGCTACCGTTGGCAAGTTTTCAGAAAATCACCTAATACGGAGATGTATCGTTGAGCTCAAACGACGTTTTATCAAAGACAAAGAGAGCAACATAAAAGTTAGTTTGATTGTTGACAAAAGAATTCGCAAGTTGGCGTCAAAACAAAACATTTCTTTACGAGAAGAACAGAACGGATTGATAGAATAACAAAAAAAACCATACAACTTGTTTCTCTTGAAAGGTTTGTTCTGTTTTATTTTTTTATTTGAATGCAAGTTTTTTTCTTAAAACATTAAATTTTTGGTTACATGTCTGCTTTTACGTGCTGGCCGTATTTTATTTTGCTAACTAAGCGTGTGACTCATCTATCTCCAAAATAAATGGGAATTCTTGATCTTCATGATTGAAACAAGAGTAGTGTTCAAGGAGTGAGTTACAAGAACTCTTTGATCGTCTTCGCCCTTCCTTATGTTCATAATCGATAAAACCAAAGGCAGAACAGAATATTCACCCCATTAAGGAATTATGACAATTCTGTTGAGTTTCTTCATAACTCAGAAATTCTTATTTCTCAGTTTTTGGGCACGAATCTCACTGTTAGTCTTTATAAGATTGAAAAGAAGTGACATGAGTGAAATTTTAGATAAATAAATCTACGATAAATCATTCTACTTCTAGTTAATAGACCCAACGATGAGATGCACAAGTAGAAATATTGAAAAATGTCATTTAACCAAGGGAAAAAAGTAGTTCCTGTTAGTTGAATTGCAGAAACTTCTCTGATTGTCGAGATAATAGCCTTATTTTATTTGTATTCCAGATTGAAATTAAAAATGGCAACTACCATTCAAGATTCATCAAGCCATAGTAAGTTAGCACTGATCATTGGCAACAATAGTTACAGTGGTTCAGAAAATAGACTAACTCGATCTGTCAACAATGCCAATATTCTAAGTGATTTACTAAAAACAATCAATTTCAAAGTTAAAACAGCTGTTAACTTGAAAAAACATCAGATGGATACGGAAATTAGTGATTTTTCTCAAATGATTAATGATGGTGATTTGATCCTGTTCTACTTTTCTGGTCATGGATACCAGGTCAATGGAAAAAACTATTTAATATCTGTCGATGATAGCGGAATAAAAACTAATAGAAGCGTTGAAAATTTTGCTATTAGCGTTGAATCAATACTCACACGACTGACAAAAAGAAATCCGTCACACATAACTATACTCGTTTTGGATTGTTGTAGATCATACTTGCTGAGAAATACATCAGACTCCTATAGTAAGTCGTAGTACTAATGGCTTCGTTGAAGAAATATTTGAATTTCTTTAGCCTCTACGGTGGAAGGTATTGGTTTACATGAAATTAAGGCACCTCGAGGAACATTTATTCAGTTCGCTTGTGCTGCTAATAAAACAGTCAATAATGACTTGTTCACCAAACAATTGCTTAGATTTATCGCTGAAAAAAATGTGGACGTGAGAAAGATGTTTCAATGTATATCAAACCAGGTGTACCTAAAAACTAATAAACAACAGCAACCGTTGTCTATGCATGAATTATCGGAATTCGAACAGGTCTATCTGAATGAAGTAATTGTATCTCCGACGAGTAGGTTACGCAACAGCCAAGTCAAATCTTCACAATTGTTATCTCATGATTCTACTGAGTACAAGAAGAAAAGCTTGTTAGCGCATCTTCTTTGGTGCTGAAATGTGGAACTTACGTATATCCTTTAAATTTGCTACCCTGATGCATCATTTGTAAATTGAAAAATAGTTTTTTTCAAATAATTATGAAAGCATTGAAATATTGTATAGAGTCTGAAGCCTTTTGTGCGCAGTTGTTGAGGTTTGTAATGTTGGCCTGCGTTGCCATGTGTCTGTGATGGGGAAGGGGTGGAGGGAGCCGCCAAAACTCAAACTTAAAACTTACATTCACTATTTGCTTCGAAACTATACTTGAGTTCCAAAAAACAATGGGCGTTTTTTATCATTTAGAAAATTCAAATAAAAAAAAAATCGAAAAACTAAAAAATATCAATGAAAAAGTCACTTAGAGAAAAAGAACTCAAAGTCATAATTTTGTAAAACTTTGTGTTGTCCAAAACATCAATTATTTCTATCGTGGCATTCCAATTTATACAGTCAG